TATATATATTTTAATTTATATATATATATATATATATATATATATATATATATATATATATACGGGCAAAAATCCTGTTTTTTTGCAATACAGAACTGAAAGCTAATATTAATGTAATACAGAATCTGCGAGTCAGCGGTTTAGATGAACAGTTTACGTAAACTTGTTTTGAATTTTGTGATATTGACTACAAGCATGTCTGATTTGTAGCTATTGTCGTTGTCATGAGTGCGCGACAATGGTTGTTTCTTCGCTGTCTATCGTCATTGCTCGAATGTTTCGTTGAAAGTATGTATCTCGTTCGTGAAATATTCAAGCAGCTTAGAAAAAATGTTTGAACATGATAAAAAAAAGTGTCCCAAACAGTTAAAAACTCCTAAAATTTCGGTGTAAACGTATTGGCCGAAATAGAGATGATTTAATAGTTCCATTGTGTTACGTTTCCCCGAATTCTTCATTGGCCAAAGATGATTTCTCACCCAGGCAAAATCTAAGAAACGATTGCTAATATAACGTTGAAGGTAATAGAACGCCGATATAACGATGACAACGAATGTCCTAGAACTGCATCTAGAACTGCAAAGAAAAGCTGAGTTTACGCTGATTGAAAACGCGAAATGCTAAATGACTATCGCTGGCGTGTAATGTTGGTCCAAGAAGCATCTCGGACGACAGATCCGAAGATCGTTTTATTTCTGGCCCGGAACGTGAAAGCAATTGCCGGTCTAATTGCGATCGATCCTCGGCCGCGTCCGCAGCTATTTAATATGCACCGTGTAATTCGCAATTTGCGGATCAACCAGCTACCCGAAATGACGCGAGTCGCCGCGATCGTCGGATATACAGCAGCGTCTAAATAGGGAAATAGTCGGTCCCGAATTCGACTATGTTGTCACGAGTCTCGTTTTATTCGGGTAACACGCCAAAACACTTCCTGTACTTAAAACTTGCGAATATTTGGCGGTTCTTGTGCCTCGCGTTCGTCGCATAAAAGATATTCGTTTCGGCGACGGAACAGCGGGCACCATTTAGTGCCGATTTTACGCGTTTATGGCAAAACATTATTGCATTATTTTCTATATTTCATTATTATCTGCAATAATTGCAGAAGACAAAGCTACAAAAGAATTTAAAGAGATTGTCTCTGTACAACTCATTAACGATATGTGGTTTTGCCATAGTGATCAAAAGAAACCTTTCAAAATTCCAATTTGAAATAAGTCCGATGATTAGGAAATTAATTCGGCAAGAACAGGTAGGTATATGCGGAAACTTAATATGTAGTAATTTCTTGTGTAGCGATAAAATAGAGTTAAAAGTGTGTCAACCATTTCATCTAAGAAGAGCCGAACAATTTGCTGCTAAACAATAATATTCGGTCCGTACGTTGCTCGAGAGAACCTGTTGCGCTGCGAGTGAAACTGCTCGCCCTCCTGCACGCGAGTTCGGCAACATATTTTCCATGATTTATCTTGAATTTTGAGTCGTCTTGGATTCGTAGTTCACTTTGGAAATTCCATGCAGATCCACAGACCAGCTGTTACTATTATTACTCTATCTTACTATTTCTTGTCACGAGAACGAGAGGTCGGAGGGACCCGGTAATACACGGTTACGTAGCCGTTGATAATTAAAGTGTACAAAGATAATCAAGAAAGGGGAAAAAGAGGAGAAGAACGAGAGCCTAATAAAACAAATCCATTGTACGGCGGGATTGCGCAAATAGTAGAACTACTTTCGACGAATTTCGTTTGGTTTCCATCAAGATAGCAATCATGAACGTATTAATGTAAATGCATTTGCATTGCAATAGGCAATATGGTCGTGAACGTAGCATTATTCGCTGAATTGTTATTCGGTGCATAACGTGGGTGGGCTGAATATCGATGCATATTAATTGAACATCTTGCGATCCCCGTTTGATTTCCTTAATTCCCAATATTTCGACCCTTCTAGTCCTACATCGAACCAGTTTCGACATTAATTTCTGTGTCAGTGGTTACATATTTAATCGCCGTCAGATTGCTGGATTTTATGCATTTACAACAGACGTGAGTGACAAAAGAGTATTGAAAGAATGTCCGACATGTTATTTCCATTCTATCAGAATTATCATAGCAAAAAAGAAATATTCATGTAGCTCCCGTCGCTTGTAATTACTGCAAAAAGTTTTGATTTCGCAGCTGTAGTTACAGGGAATACGATTAAATCATATATGATCACGAAATGAAAGTAACGTGATAAACAAAACCGAAACCAGAAGGTTCAAATTTGTCATAGCAGATGGTGCGTTGACTCTTTCGCGTTCGAAAAATCCTAGTAAAATTCAGATCGTTCGAACATATCACGGTGAAAATGAATTTCAAATGTTGGCGTCACCAATACGTGGCCGACGATGCACACGACGTCTAATTTATTCTTCAGCGTTTAATCCAGACGATGATAAACAGACTGCTTAACGAATTTCTAACAGAAACGAGAGGCGATCGAGTCGAGAACCCTTAAAAAATATACGAGAATATATTGCTATTTATCGGAGCGATTTGCTATTAACGCTTCAACTAACGAGCACTAAAAACGTCTGACGTACGTTGCTTTGTAAAGAAAAAGATTGAATTTATTCAGACGTTTCACCATTTTTATTACAATTTGTGCTTGAGTTTGACCAATCATTCCCTGCCGAAAAGAGTCTTTTATAACGTGCAACAATTTTCAAACGAAAAACGTGATTGCTTCGCAAGAATAACGTACGTGTATTTATTCAGATTTTTAGCGACTTTTACTACATATAATATACACCGAGGAGCAAAACTGAGCCAACATCTTTTAAAACGGTATAACTTTTTTGAAAGTGGAGTAAACGGCTTGAATTTTTATTATACGATAGAAACACTAGTTTACTAGGCGGTGACAAAATTACTTTCTTTTAATTTTGCTATTATTTTAAATGATACAAAAAAATATAAAACTCTCGATTTTTCAATCTTCTTATTTGAGTCTACAATGAAAATGTAAAAAATGCCTCTTAATCATTGCCCAGTAGAGTAGTCCTATCCTCTAAAAAAATGTTAAAAATAATTATACCATTTCAAAAGATGTTGACTCAGTTTCGCTCCCCATTGTAAGGGACGAATGTATCGAATAAATTCCAGATTTTATCTTTGTAATTACAATAATCGTAAATTAAAAATTTGCTGCACGTCTTTTGGACGTGTTCCATAAACCTAATATTAGGAAAGAAGAATAGTGTCTGTCTCGCCTCTCCGGCGAACGACGGATAAAATTGTTGTTCCGCGTAAAGATCCGCAGTCCAGCAATAACAATAGCGTGGCTCGATTAGCACGGGCAGGAGAGCCACCGATGGGAATCCAGCGAACAACGCTCGGCATCGAAAGGGTGCAATAAAATGCGCAAGCACCGGGGATAACGCGAATAACGCGAATAACGCGCGAGACGTCGATGACTGTTGACAGGAACGACAAGAGCATCGGGCCTGCGACGACAAAGCAAAGCCGCGCGAAATATATTGCAGGGCAAATATAGAGGCGAGACGAGTCCGCTCGGCGAGTAATTAACGAAACGAAGGCTGGACGCCGCGCCGCGTCGCGTCGCATTATTCCGAAGGAATTACGATCATCGCGCGGCACGCGTCGATATTATAAATTAATTGCGGCCGGATCGATCGAGGGAACGTT